CAAATAATATTCTTCTTCTGCTATTCCTTACATGGTATCAGAGCCATAAGTCAGATTCTAGATTTCAAGGCCGGGTTAGTGGTTGATTCAACTGGTTTCTCTAAATGAATTTGGGTGGTCGTGCAAATGGACTGGGGATTGAGTTATTGAACTAGTCCAACTACAAGGTATGGAAGACTTGTATGGAATCATACCTTGTTGGTGAGGATTTGTGGGAAGTTGTCAATGGGAGTAACACAAGTCCTCCTGCTGACGCATCGAAAAATAGCAATGCACGTAAGAAGTAGAAGCAGATTAATGCTAAGGCGGAGTTTATCCTAAAGAGGTCCATCTCTCATAATTTATTTGATCATATTATAAGGTGTAAATCAGCTCATAAAATATGGAGGACCTTCGATCGGCTGTTCAACAAGAAGGATGAAGCTCGGCTACAGATTTTGGAGAATGAGTTAGCTAACACCACTCAAGGTAATCTTTCGATCGCCGAGTATTTTTTGAAGGTTAAAAATCTGTGTTTTGAAATTTCTCTATTGAATCCGGCCGTGGCTATCTCTAAAGCACGAATAAGAAGAATTATTATTCGTGGCTTAAAGCCAGAATATATTCCCTTTGTTACATCGATTCAAGGATGGGTTCAACAACTATCTTTGGAAGAATTTGAGAATTTGCTATCGTCACAAGAGCTATTAGCCAAACAGATGGCTGGTGTATCTATCAAAGAAGGGGAAGGAAATTCTCTTGTCACCGATAAGAGGAACTTTAAAGGAAAATCAAGAGATAGAATGCACTTTCAGTCCTCAAATGGTTCGAGCTCGCCAGGAAAGAAGGGGGAGTCTTCCAGCAACAGTAAAAAGCCTTTAAAATGTTACCGTTGTGGCAAAGTCAGGCACATAAAAAGATATTGTCGAGCCAAAGAGAGCAATATGGCTCAAATTGAGAAAGTTGCTGAAGAAGAAGAAAAAGAAGAAGACTGGGGAAAGTACTTCACAACGGAGACTCGAGCAATAAATGCCATGGCTTCCATAAATTTTGGAAGAGACTGGATCGTGGATTCAGGATGTGGGCACCATCTCACTGTAGATCAATCCAAATTCTCCACCTTTCGCGAATACAACGGACATGATGTCATTGTTACAGCAGATAAAACAGTCCATAATGTGGAGAAAGAAGGCACTGTTGTGATCAACGAGAAGCAAAAAGACACTATCACCCTCAACAATGTCTTTCACGTTCCAGGTATGAATAAAAATCTATTTTCAGTTGCAAATGCTGGAAACTATTTGCTATTTGGCCCACGTGATGTGAAGTTCCTCCGAAATATCAAGGTACTCAAGGCAGATATCATTCACTCAGGTAAGAGAGTTAGCGATTTATATGTCTTATCTGCCTCTAATTCATATATTGAGAAGATGAGTAGCAATGATAATACACATCTTTGGTATGCTAGACTTGGACATCTAAGCATGGATAAATTAAAAGCCATGGTAAAGTTGAATCTAGTAAAAGGTTTGCCTAACTTAAGAAATTTTGATGGAGGAGAGGTTTGTGAAGGATGTCAATATGGAAAAGCACATCGTCTTCCATTTGACAGATCCTTGTTAAGGTGCAATGCCCCGCAAAAACTTATTCACAGTGACTTGATGGGGCCAACGAGAACTCCTTCATTTTCAGGCTACTCTTATATGCTAATTTTCATTGATGATTTTACTAGATTCACTTGGATTTATTTTGCAAAGCACAAGTCAAAAGTTTTCAGTAAGTTTGTGGAGTTCAAAGAAACTATTGAAGGTGAACTCGATTCCAGAATAAGACGGCTACAAACTGATAATGGCGGTGAGTTTACATCAGATGAGTTTCTTTCCTTTTGTCGTCAGCATGACATTAAAAGAGAGTTGACATGCGCTGATACGCCACAACAAAATGGAGTGGCTGAAAGGAAGATCTGACGCTTAACTAAGACATGTAAGAGTTGGCTTCATTCCAAGAATTTACCAAGAGCCTTGTGGGCTGAAGATATGAAATATGCAGCGTACGTGATTAACAGGATGTCGCTTTCTCCAAATAATATGAAGTCTCCCTATGAATTAATGTTTAGAAAAGCCTAGCGTGAAACACCTCAGGGTTTTTGGCTCTATTTGTTATGTTCACATTCCGGATTCTCAAAGGAGCAAGTTAGATGCCAAGGCAAGAAAATGCATCTTTATCGGATATGATGAAAGGAAAAAGGATGGAAGTGCATGGATCCGAAAACTCATCTCTTTGTTGTTTCAAGGGATGTCATATTCGATGAAGTCTCTTTGTATTATGGAGTTATGCAATAAGGGGTAGGTTATAAACCCTTGAACCCTGAAGCATCAAATCTACCCATTACGAGTACTTCTTTAGATAATACAGTTGTCGAAGAGCTAAGAGAAAGGGAGAGCCCGAGAACTCAACAACATGAAACTCAACAAAAAAATGATTCATGTGATTCCGGAAGGCCAAAAAGAACTATTGTCAAACCGGCTCGTTTCAGAGATGAAAATTTTGTCAGCGCAGACTCATGTTCCTTTGCAAGACCAATTGAAGAACCTTTAGTATTTGGGGAAGCAAAACGAGCCAGAAAAATAGTGTTGAGATCTTCACCAAGACACATCCTAAAGCATCGATTGAGTTCTTCCGCGACAAGCTTGGGATAGATTCCAAAAAATCACTTTAAGGGGGAGTGTGAGAAAAATAAAGTAAAGTTGATTTTTTGGAGAAACATAGAATTCTCTAGAATGCCCTAGTGTTGTATTCTTGATATTTATCTAGTAGACATATCTAGATGTTCTAGAATGGAAGATAAGAAAAATCTAGATATTCTAGAGTCTTGGATATTTAAGGAAGATATTAGTAGAAGATGATAGAATTGTCTAGATTATTTTTGTATTTAGAATTATCCCTAGACAAGTATGAATAAGAATAGCCTTAGGCATTTGTTGTGAAACCAAAAATCAAGAAAGCCTTCTTTCCAAAATAAGTTCTCCTATCTAAAATCTATCTTCTTTTTTCAAGCTTCCTCTTCTTTAGTTGAATCCTCCAATCTTAGTTAACGATCTTGGACTAACAGAAGGTCTCCAAATAATATTCTTCTTCTGCTATTCTTTACATATAGGATGCTCATTCTGCTGAAACTTACGAAATATGATGAAGTTGAGTGTGTTGACAAACATATCTAACAAGGGGTTTGTTCCAAAAGATGTGCTGTACAATACCATCCTTGATGGCCATTACTCAACAGAAAATATCCTGAAGGATCTAAAGGTTAATAAGGAAAGAATACTAAGGTATTTGAGGCAAATTGATGGGTTGCTAATCACTTTACACGAGCTGCTTTTGTGGGAATTTGCTTCTGGAAAGTTTGCCTTGGTTCACTCATTTCGCTTTCCGCTAACTGCTTCGTGAAGAGGGCAAGCAAACTCGTGTCGATACGCAAGGCATGTTATGATGGCACTCAAGTTGATAACAATGCTAATGTGTGAGAGCCACAAATGACACAGTTTAGATTGGTTCGCTAAGGTGCACTGGATCCTATATTTTCATCTAGGCACAAAGAACGTCTTAATATTGATATAGTTGGTTGGGAGCTCCTCGGTATCACTATTCTTGACTTGAACCTTGAGGACAAGATTCTTATTGAAGACGGGAGTATTGTTATGAATCAGGGGCGAACCCAAGTGGTGAGAAATGGGTTCAACTGAACCCGCTTCGTCAAAAAATAATACTGTGTATATGTATAAATTATGGCTAAAACAAGATAAATTTTGTATATAAATTATTTTTGAACCCGCTTATACGACTTATACCGCTTATATTAGTTATGGACTTTTCCGACTGAACCCGCTTGCACAAAATCCTAGGTCCGCCACTGTTATGAATAATCCCAGCCCAATGTCACAAATGTAGCTATTGGGTTGAGAAGAGTTATTGGGCCAAGAATAAGCAATAGGACCAGATTAATTTTGGATCCAGGTTGAGTTGTGAGCGTAAGGACAATTATGATAAAAGGCGCAGTGGTCCGCGATTTGGGAGTTATGCCTATTGTTGAAGAAGAAAATGTATGTTCCTCTATCTCCTTGCTTTAAGTCTAAGCTTCTTATCTCCTTCTTCTATATGTGTGTCTTATTCTATATTCATAACTGTCTATATACAATATTTCCATTGTTATCCTACAATTTGAGTGTTAGTTCGGCTACTAGTAATTGCAATAGAATTTCGGTTATTATCATTTATCAATATATATTGAGATTATAGTATTAGTTACAGCTTCAATATTCCTTGCAAGTACTCGATGATATCTTGGTCTAAATTTAAATATGCATAGTTTAGAAGTTCTTTCCTTTCTATAACGATGGGGATATTTTTCTGTATATTCCAGTGTGTAGTTACTTGAAATTTGAAAATGTTTTCTTGAACAAAAACATTTTCCTCACTAAAATTGGGGGGTGGGGGTGGGGAATGTCATTTATAGCATTGTGTTTGCGAGACCATGTATTTCTATTAATTAGAAATGCACGAAATATATATAAATATCTGATTATGAATCCAATTATTGCATATTAATTAGAGATTACAATAGGAACCTAACTTCAAATCCTGAATCTGGCCTCTAAACATATCCCAACTCTTACTCCATATGACTTGTATTAATCAAGTACGTGGATATTGCTATCAAACTTCAATATAAGAAGGATTCACCAAATAACTAGTCTTATACCACATATATGTCACATATTTTTATAGTACTTAACAAAATATAGAAATATAATATTACAAAAAATAGTTTTTCTCAGGTAAAAAGCATTTTACACCCATAATAGAAATTAATTAAAAGCCTAGGACCTCCCACAAACAGGGAGCAGAAGGGCCTATGAATGTGGGATAGAATAAATGTGGGATAGAATCATCATCAATCAAACAAAAACGTTGCTTAATTAATTTAAATAGCACAAATAATACGCCGATTATTAATTTGTTACCTGACTTTGAGGGAAACGGGTGTCCATGACTGAGTAAACATGGTATCTCCTCTTGAAGTGACAAAAAGCGAAAATTCCCTCACCGTGTTCTTATCGTCAACGTCCTCAAGCACCCTTTTTATCGCCAGCACTCTCCTCGCCGCCACCTCATTATCCACCATGTTCTTTCTCGGCACCATCTTTGCCGGCACTCGCACCATTGGCCCCTTCCGTTCGATCATCTTATCAAACTGAGAATACATATATTAATTAATTAACCATATAAAATGACAACCTTTCTTATAATGAAAAGACACATATTTACATAATTACATTGTCATGCAAATTACAAATATCAGGTAAATTTCTTAATTACCTTCTCCTCCTTTGATCCAGATGTTGTCGCTTGCGACACCATCCGCTTCCGCCCTCGAAATGGCAATAGCAACAATAGCACGAATGCACTGAGCAGCAGCCATAAACTCCTCAATACCCGTAATGAAAACAGGGCACTGATTATCCCGCTTGGCCCTGACGTTAGAATCATCGCTGCTTCGTTGGCCTTAGTAATATCAACCGCCATTGCTCTTCTCACAAAAGCAAAAATTCAACTCGAATATATATGCTTTTCTTTTCCTCTCTTGTACTATTATTATTATTAATCCCACAACGGAATCTAATTCCTTGTGGGTACGTATGGTTTTCAAGCAGACGATATACTAATATGTAAATTGCTTTCTGACTGTTCAATTGTTTATGAGAAGAAAAAAAGTTGGTTACGTTATAGGATGAATAGTACTATAGGGAAATAATGAGAGAAGGTTGATTCTGAATGGGCTTTGAGAATTGAACAAAGAATGTTAATCTTTCTCTCCGCAAAATGGAAAGCAGTCTCAAGGGGAGAGCTTATAACTAAAGTTTGAGAGAATTAAGGTCGACGCTATGTACGGAGGAACTGTGTAGCCACATCACATGCCACCAAATCCGAAATGTTGCGATTTGGTTTTTGCTGTTTTACTTACCTTGCTAATTTGACAAAATCTTCTACACTTTAAAATTTTTTGTTGCTTTATTAAAGGAGAATCTGAAACCAAAATAAAGGGACGAATTTGATGCGATATGCATGTATATAGGCCACTATAGTTTTAATGGAGAAGTGACGTAAGAGATGGTTTCAAGTAAGAAGGTCAATTTTTATTGACTGATAGCGAAATAAAAATATTTATTCAGAGAGAACACAGTACTTAAAATCTCTCTCTCTCTATATAAAAATAAAATTGAGGGAATAAACACCTCTTTGGCCAAGAATCCTATTTATACCATTTATAACACCTCTTAATTCTCACAAAAGAATTACTCTACCTTTTCCTTCAAAATTTACTCACACACAACCTGATTTTTAAGCTATCTATTCCTTTGGTTTCTCAATCGGTTTTTCTCTTGCTCATTGTTTATTTTTCTGTTTCAAACCTCCATATTTGCTTGGTTTCCTTTTTAGATAATGTTCACAACTACTCAAATTCTTTATTCAATTTCCTTTTTTTATGTTTGTAATTACTAATAAAAAGCATGGGTACACAATCATCGATTTATTGACAAGTTTGGTAAAACTTTTGGATTTTCAGGATGAGGAAGTTGATTGGAAGAGTTGCTTAACTCAGATGATGATGTCAGTCAGATCCGCGTGTTGAGACAAATCCGGTATAACCACATTTCTTTCCTGGAAATTGGATTTAATTTGACAAGATTCTAACAAACGTGAGTGTAAGTGAAAATTATCTAAATAACAGTTTCTTGAATGTTGAGAGTGTAAATGAAAGAAGCCGGAGTGAACAATGTGCTATGATTATTGAAAAATCTTTGTAACATGAGCCATATTATCTTCGACCAAGTATTGTTTGGGCATCCATGATACCAAATATGATTAGTATTCTTTACTTCAAGTGTGCATGTGACATTTCCCGTAAACCTGTTATTGTTTTGTCTTCTTTGTTTGTTATTTGTGCTAGATATCGAGTTGATCAACTTTATCTGATCATGAAAATATAATAATCATTTTTTTAGTTTCTTAAAAGGTCTATAATAGTACGTAATCAACGCCAACCGTAAGCAAATGAACTCTTAAGTTTTGCCAATGTTGTCTCCGATCTTGCTTGAGCTTCTATCTCTGTCATCCCTCTGCTTCTGTTTCCTTTCTTCAAGTGCTAAGGAGAATAAATGAATACGTGCATAGATACAGTCATACACTCATTTACTAAGTAAGGACCAAGTCCCACTACATACCTATGTACTATGTCCTCTATGTCTGATACAACTACAGGAGCATACCTCGCCAAAGAATTAAGGCGGAGGTTGTACTGCAACACTCATACCCCCTGCCTCAATGTCATGAACTGATCCAATCATGTTCTACGTGTCTCTGTAGGTAAGTAATGGTGGAAGAATATCTGTGAGAACTCCCGCCATGTAGCTGGAGCCGCGTTTGCTCCCCTAGACATCTCCCAATTGGTATACCAACCTGCTACGCTCCCCTAGACATCTCCCAATTGGTATACCAACCTGCTACTAGATCGTGTAATCTATATGCTGCCAATTCAATTGACTCTCTATCTGTGGCATGCATAACTCTGTGGTCTTTGGCCAATCTGTCTAGAAAATCCTGGGGATCCTCTGTTGTACTAGATCTCATGAAAACTGGAGGCTATAATATGAGGAAATCACGAATTCTAGAACCCGTATTGCCACCCTGAGGACCTGCATGTTGCCGTCTAGCCTAAGTAGCTACAATGCTAGTCAACAATCTAAAAGCCTCACTCATGTCGTCATGCTGAAGAGCCAGAGGTGCGGTAGCTCCCTAAAAAGACGGAGTCTGTGAAGATCCGGAGGGAACCTCATGTCTGGACTCCTCATGCTCATCTAACTCATGGGGTACTCTGCTAGTACCTTGACCAGCAATGACTTTCCCTTCTAGGCAGCTGTGAGTCTCTTCGTCGGCATCACTACCTATAAAATATTTCGTTAGAAGGCTGAATCCATATGACATATCTCTGTCACACGATATAGAGAAGAAGGAAGGACAACTATCCTATAATGCCCAGTAGCCTCCTGTTCATAAGTATGGTGCACAACATATCCCTGAACAAGACTCTACTAGTCACGACCTATAGACATCTTAGGATTGAACTGCTCTGATATCATGTTTGTCATGACCCAGCCTACGATCGTGATGGATAACCAACACTAAGTGTCGATCATCACTAAACCTGCTAATAATCTACTAATCATAAATACATACTGATAAACTGAACAAGCATAAGCATAGATGATAAGAACTTTACAATCTGAAAAGCTGACAAGGCTAACACAAGCTAACATATAAAAACATACTAACTGCATAGGTGCATATCTATAGGCCTCTAGGAGTGCTGAACTAAACAAGTACTAGACGGGATATGGCCCCACCATATCCAAACTAGTGGACTGTGCACATACTAAAAGATAAGTAACTCCAAGAGTAAATAGAGTGACTCCAATAGCTGGTAGATGGCCTACTGACGTGGCTCAAACGCTAATCTATCTGTACTTGCGCGGCATGAAATGCAGCACCCCGGAAGGGACGTGAGTACGATATGTAAGATGTATGTAGGGTGGAAAACATATGTAAAGCATACTAAAGTCTGACTGTAAGCTGAAAATCTGAATATAAGCTAAAAACTAACAAAGAATATAAACTAGTAACTGATCTGGAACTGAACACAAGTTTAAGCTTGAACTATGCTAAAACTGAACTACTAATCTGAATCGATACATGTTTGGCATTATGGGCTATATCCCCCCAATCAGGTAATTTTACATCTAAACTAACCTCATGTATATAGTCATTCAATACAAACTATAGCCATATACGAGTATATAACATGCTTGACTGGCGTTATGGGCTATATCACATCAGCAGGTGAATATATAATCTATACGGCCGACTGGTGTTATGAGCTATCTCCCCCCATCATAAAATCAATAGGCCTGGATGGATTTAGGGGCTATATCCCCTCAACATAATCAATGTAAGCATGTATGAGGCATAACACATATGGCAGCATAATATGTACTCAAGAGATCATGAAGGAAATCATAAACAGAATCACAAAAGTAATCTAATGCTCGTCCTCCATAAGTTGGACGGAGGGGTATACCCATTTTAAGGATAAACTGAGTATGCACATAAGATACTAAGGCTAATTAACTCATTAGGATCTAATAATCAATTTAGAAACAAGGAACTCAAAATTTGTCCAACTCTTCGAATTTCCAAAAATTTCGGTAGAGATTCCCCTAAAAATGGATGATCCAAAGAAAACATGAAGCACCACAATATACACGGGAATGGATACCTATCCAAGATTATAACATCAAACTAAAGGAGACCCAACTATCCAAAATAGTGTCAAACGATCAACAAAACAGAATTATGAATGTAATGTCGACTCATAATGACTAACTTGTGATATGAAAGTCTAAATATGATGTAGGAATAATCTAAGCATCAACACATGATAATTAAGTCTACATAATCTTCTATAAAGCTATTATTATCATATGAGGAGGGGTTTATGTATACATAAAAACATCAAAGGACTAGAATAATGATGAAGTCCATATGGCATAGGCCAAATGGGCAATTCATCCTTTTTGTTTTTGTTGTGTTTTGAAGTTCCAAACTAAACTAGTTTCTTCCATAATTCACATATACAATTGAATATTGTACAAGGATATAATACATGGTAAAATTTCCATTGAACAAATCTTAAAAGGTCAACAAGAAAGGCTAGAACATAGCTAAACCAAATCATGCCGCAAACGAAATTAAAATCCTACATGCCTCTTGTTTTATTGATTACAAACCTTGTTCACTTTGATCCACACCATTTCTTATGCTTGTATAGCTAAAATACAGAGGCGACAAACTTTCTTAGCCACAAATCGCTTTCCAAAACTCGAGTTATAAGGAGAAAGGAGGATTGTAAAGTCTTACCAATGTCGTAAGGATCACGTTGATGTGTTCACTTCTCGATTTTTAGTTGTGGATGATGGAATTGCTTCAACTTCCTAAGGAACTTCTTAGAGAGTTATGGAATCTCTGCTTGTGCATGAATTTTTTAGAAAATGAGGAAAAAGAAGACTAAGTCTTTTATTAATAATAAGCTTGAAAAGTCACGACATGTTTGCTTTACCCGCCCTTGTTCCGACACTCATATCTCTTTATTCGGATGTCGTAATGAACAATTGATCAAGAGCGTTCGAAATTACATTCCAGGAACTTCAATTTGGTATATAATATTTCCTCAAAAGACCTCATATAACACACAGAATTAATTTCTCAAAAAGCTTCATCGGAAGGCAAATTCGATTTTTTCCAAACTTTATATTCTATATCCAAACATCATATATAGTCATATTATGACTTTAAAAGCATTTAAATCATGTTTAGAAAGGCATTTACAAAATATATGACATCACAAAAGTGCAGAGTGTAAAAACTTTGTTGTCACAATATAATCTCACTGGTAGCTTTAAAGTCCATATTTAGCTGCTTGAATAGGTCTGCCAACCAAACTATCTCTTCAATTCATTAGCCATGCTTCTGTATTTTGATTCTATGGAGAACCTTGACATTGTGCTCTATTTCTTGTATTCTTAGGAAATGAGGGAATCACCCAACTTTACCACAAACACACTCACTAATTTTCTAGTCATTGGACGTGTGACCTAGTCTGCATCATAATAAACTATGAGTTGTTTGAACGGTTTGGAAGACAGTAAAATCCTCAATCCTGGTGCATTCTTCAAATATCTTACAATCCTTAGAGCTCC